AAACTGTCAATTAATTCTTTCACTACAGATGTGACTAAAGAAAAACAAAACATATGACTGTTAAATTGCAGTTTATCACTACAAGAGTATGATCTGGGGATAATCCATGATAACATTTATACTGATGCACTTTCACGTGCTATGTAATTTTATGATCATAAGGTTATTTGTATTGATTGTGTTCTATACTGTAATGATTATTGAAGTGGTATAATCCTTTGAATAATGTATTATATATAATGTATTCTTTCCAATGTATGTGTATATATATAATATCTTAGTTAGAAAATTTCTAACGCCCATTTTTAATTCACTAAGGAGGGAGTTGTAACGAATTTGTTATTATATATTTATTTTAATATCAACGTTTGTTTGGATTAACTTTATATTTAGAAACATACATGGCTAATACCGTATTGCCAAATTTCCGCCTATTCTCCAAATTTGTAGAAGATTCTCGAGAGTAAGAATCAACAATATGTGTGTATGTAAACGCTTGTATTAGCGCCAGTATCTGAATTTTCTAGAAACCTTCACACGCCTATAAATATAACCAACGTGACGCGCCAAAAGAGAGTATCTATTATTAGTCCGCTATAGTCAGTGTGCTATAAAAGTTGGAAACTATATCTGTGATTATTATAACGCTTATCAATCGGAAAACTTTAGATATTTGACCAAGAACCTTTACAAAGTTCGAACATTACATAGCCTTTAACTTCAGTGGATTCTCATCGGGCGTCAGTATTTTTACGAAAACATTATTTAAATTCATCATGGAGAACTCGACGTGTGTGGCCGATAAATAACGAAAGACAAAGCTAGCTAGCTTCCCGTAAAGCGAATTGTACCTACGTCAACTCGTAATTAACTCGCTCATCGTGAACCATGGATAAGATATCGAAGCAGTTCCAGACTAAAAGGAAAAAGTTTATATTGCTTCTATGTTTGTGAAACGTTTGCTTATAAATCGGTGTTTGTAATAATTGTTATTGTAAATGGTATTGTTGTGTGTATATTAAAATGTGTTCGTATAAACGAAAACTGTGTGTATCAATCTTCTTGACAAATATCATAAACTGACTATATATCGGCTTTTACTTAACTACTAAATCCAAAGTACAATTTAACTACTAAATTTAAATTTATCAGTTAATTCAATTCAAGGCTATTTGAAATTCTAATACGTAACACATGTCATAATAGGATGTGATACCATATCTGCTACGGACAGTACTGGCAGAAAGTTGATGAGAAAAAACAAAGTAAGTTAACCAGATGTTATCTCTGACTTCGCAAATCTATCTGGAAAAGATTTAGAACCTGCAATTTCAGCATCTCTGAAGTTAGTAGTAGCACTGTGTAATCCAAGCACAGAGAAAGATACGTCTATATTAGCCTGAATATACTGCGAACTAAAATAGTTACAAAGAAATAAATCTTTTTACAAAGACGTCCAACATGTGAGGACACCTTTATACATCAGCTCAAAGTGCAGCGTGGCAACCAAAAGTGTGGAAATCTTATCATGTAACTCAACCTAGTTTGGCATGCTCCTCGAACTTGGTTGACAAAATAATAATTGGATCGTGCTGGTATGGTATAAAGGTCTTTGTGCGTTTGAGATTTTCCAGATTCTGATGTGTGTTCCTGTTGTGCAATGTATGGTGCATGTGTCATCAGAATGGTATGTCATGTATAGAGCTTTGTACTGAGGAAGAACGTGACAAGTTCACCTGGAGATGTATGTTGAAGATCTGAATCAGGATTTGAACAATTTTGTAATTCAAATACTACATATTGTTTGATATATATTTCGTCTGTCTTCTTGAAATTTAGTTAAATGAAGTTACCTGTTTTATGTGTGCATACAGAATTGTAATTGAAGATACTCATTATTAATTCTTTTTAAAATTCCCAGATTGTTCAGTCATATGATCTCATAATAATTTGTTCAAAAGAAGCTTTTGAAAAGTTCCCTTATTTTTATTATGTTATTACATAAGGATAGAATCCAAGTATTTTTAAATGATATATCTGTAAATGGTATCTTAATTTTTATAATATTCTATAGTAATAATTCATACAGTTTTAAATTTCCATTGGGTGAAACTCATTTCTGCTTATGTTATGGCACTGTAATTTGAATGAAACTCATTTCATTATACTGTTATGGCACTGAAGTCTGAGAGAAACTCATTCCAGTTTATGCTACGGCAGTTCAGTCTGAGTGAAGCTCATTCCAGATAAGTTAAAGTTTGAATAGTTTTTGTGATAGTTTTTAAATCTCACTTGGCCATTTTACAACTATGAAGATTATCTTACAAGGTATGAGATTTCAGATCAATAATTTTTGGTTGTTTTGAGTAAGAACACACGTGATGATTATCAGAACATGATGACTTCTGAAAATTACTTAAGATGTACTGATCTGTATATAACAAGTGTGACACCTTTGTTATAAATTTAAAACCTTTAGTGCAATATAAAAGTTGACGGGAAACGTTTGTATATATTCTTAAGGGAGCTATCTTTCATATTAGAATTGATTTCACAAAGACACAGCTCCTCAACAGGTACAATTGGGAAGAGCAGAAATATCACATTCAGATGAGTTAAACTATAGGTTTGTATAGCTCTTGTCTACTAAATATTATTTTTCAGCGCTTATGTCACTCTCCTACTTGGGAAAGTTATATGAATTATACATTACTCGTACCAGACAAAATCGAGTAGTTATGATTATTACAGTTTCCTACCATATGTATAACAAAGTAGTAGAGCTATGATCCACTATTTTACAGGACTAGCAAAATAGGCCTAGCTACCTTTCACTAACTCTATATCAATACAGCAGAATGTTGAAAACCTAAGCTCATGATTATAATTATCTATACTACAGATATAATTAGTTAACTATAATTCCTTAGTTAAAGCATACAGGCAATTGAGTTCATGAAGCTAGAAAATTGTATTATTATTTATATGAAAATATCCCTGATTTCATAATGAAATATGGTATAAATCAAAAAAGAAAAAGTAAGCCTACAACATTTTAAAGTTTCAAATCTAACGTAAGTGCCTTAAAAATATAGTATGTAAAATTAATAATTGTAGTTGTAATTGTAAGTGGGAAAATCGTCATCAGTTTTGTATATATCGCAGACTCAACATTGTAAGCCTAGAAATTGCTAGAAATGTATCTTTGTAGACTTAATCTATCTAACATAACAACTTACCATTGTAGGCCTAGCTCAGACCAAGGATTGTAGGCCTAGTTAAGATATCTCTATAGTATAAATCTAGCATAGAATACCAAGCTAAGATAGGTTTAGGTTAACGGATAGCTTCTAAAACATCGCCATACACTTCTGTGCTACATAACATTTTAAGATCAAGTTAAAGTTCTTATATGTTGTAAGTATAGACATAGCATTGTATAAATATCTCGCTACAATGCTTTTATGTTGCAACTGTGGCCAAAGTATAAAATAACATGCTCCATACTTCTATGTTTCAGGTTTAGATATAGATGTAAATAACAAAATTAATGCATCGAATTGCCAAGGCTATCTAGTTCCCGTGATAGGGATGACACAGTGTAGGCCTAACTACGATCCGATTCTGTCAATGATGTAACACTTCACGTGTGACTATGATTTTGTGTACTATCGTGAGCACAGTAATTAAGTCTAAGCATGCATTGCAAATATTAAGTGCAGACTGCTTAATTTCATTTCCTAATTGATTTATAATATAGCTATAAATTTCACTTAAGTTTAAAAAGTCGTGTTCTTATTATGTACATTAGCGACTTTGTGCTGTTTGCGTGTTCCACGTGCTTGTAAGTTTAATCTGTTACTTCTAGTTTATGTAAGAAAGATAGAAATAACAAAATGTCATTCAAAAACGTATTTCAAGCTTAATTTTAACCCTTTCTCGTTTTTATTTCGGAAAACCTGAAATATTATTTAGAGTCAAAATGTTTTGATTTTTAGCTTTGCCTCCTTTTTGGTCTTAATCACAAAACTACAAAATCTGAAATCGTTATTCTAGTGGGACTACAGCCTTGCATGAATAAGTACACATGACTATAATGGCAGGTGTTCAGAGTCTCTAGATAAGCTGGATTATCAATCCGCAACGTTCAAGTGGACGGAAGAACACGCCCTGATACCTGCACGCGAGAAGGTGGAGCCAAAAGATTAGGATGTTTTCATTGGAGGTACTTATTACAATCGAATTGCCACACTAAAAATGATGGGAAGTGAGGCTTACTTTGGAATGGTGATTTTAGTGACGAGAACATTCTTATCAGTTTTATTTTTTAGCCATTTCTCTGAATACTCGTATTTGTAGGAAGCCATTATTTATATATACATATAATATATGATGTGTGATTTTTCAACATGAATCTTATCATTTATTTAAGCGGTTCCCAATATACTTTTTCCACATGACATTGAACGGTCTTTACCATAGGGATTAAAAATATGGAGTTTTGATGAGTGCGTATTTAATTTTTCTTCTTCTTAAATCTTTTTAATAAAGAGATTAATTAACTAGACCTCTAATTCACAGGCCACAATGAATTTCTATGAGAAATATACCTAGCTCAGAGAATTTGTAAAACATATTGATGATTATTTATTCGATTCGCTAAAATGTTAATTTTGGCATATGGAGCCACTTTGCAAAGTTTATTATGATTTGGATTAAAATTTTATTTTATTAGTTGTTCAATCCATTTGTTTTGTTGCTTATCCATCAGTTTTATCTCTATGTTAATTTTTAGTATGTATAACTGTCAACTCGTTTAAACTAGGAAAATAATTACACCAAATAACTATTTATTACAAGTTTAATTCAGAAACTAGCGAACGATCTTTTCTGGTCACTAGAGGGCGCCCTCGTCTGCAAATGTGACGAAGGATGAAATTGACTAACTCTTTGTAGTAGTGACATTCACGCCGTGGAAGTAGTGTAGGTTACTCACGTGTTGAACAGTGGCCCATTCGTGATAACTACCATGCTACATTGTGTTCTCTGGGTATTATTTTTCCACGGTGAGCATATTTTCATTAAATTAAATTATTTACTTGAACAAAGATGATTAAAAGCTGATACGAAGATTATTTTAATGGTATATTTACGTGAGTAATTTACGAAACAAAGAAGCCATCTGAATATCATTTGCCTTCTTATCTAATTTTGTTTCTTAATATTGTGCATATAGTATTTGAGTTTATACGAAGTACAAAATGTGAAAAGTAGACATTGGAATATGGCTGTTGTATTTCTTAAGGATATGCTTGTTAAAACGGTTGTAGATGTCTGGGATTTTAAGTAACGATATTCCATTATGATATTCACATTAAGCTAATTGGAAACACAAAGAAGTGAAATAGAACTATATATATCACATTTTCCAACCTTTGTAAGCCATTATATATGATTGCCGTTTATAAAGTTAGAAAATAGATGTACCATGTAACCAATGAAAACAGCTCATTCTCTTTGGTTTGAGCTCAAACATATCAGGAAACGCCTTTAAAGCATACTCTTTTGCAGTACTATAATGTTATGCTAAGAAAACTTCATACAATAAGAAGTTGTTTGAAAGAATTGAGAGTTTCGCTCTCTGAATATTTAGCTAGAATATTTGTATGTTATTTAATCAATATGCCTGTATTTGATAAATAAATAGCTCTAACGTTGTTATCCAATGTTTCAACTTTTGTGTTAATATATATATATATATATTCAGTTACTTCTTGACAAACCAGTTAAGGCAGTTGCCAAGGCCATAGAACTGAGGGTGGGTCCAAAAAATGTTTGTTTGTTTTTCTTGATTTTGGACTTAAAAGTTGTCCGAATTTTTCATATAGTTTTATTTATTTTATTCTTTTCTATTAAGGTGAATGTTATATATAGCCAAAAGTTTTCTCGACTGATACATATTCCCGATAATATTCTGTTATTTCGCGCCTGGCATAGGCCAGTGGTCAGGGAGTTTGACTTGCAGGCTCCAGGTCAGGGTTCGAATCCCTTCACCGAACACGCTCGCTCTTTCAGTTGTGGGGACGTTATAATGTGACGATCAATCCCACTTTTCGTTGGCAGTGGGTGGTGTTGACTAGTTGCCTTTCCTCTAGTTTATAACTTCCAAATTTAAGATGGCTAGTATAAGGAGACAGTCCTCGAGTAGTTTTGAGAGAATTTCAAAAAAATAAATAAAAAACAATTCCATTATTGGTAACCACTTATGAAGTTAGTGATTTTCGTGATAATTTCCCATTTTAAAATAACGTAAAACTAATCAAATATCGTCATCAAAATAACAAACATTGGTTATAGAGGCACAACTAATTTCTGTGTATTATGTAAATATAAGTAGTTGTAACAATTTAAGTTTTTTATCCAAATCGAATATGTAATAGTGATCTGTTAGTAATTAATGTAAAATGTGATAAATTTGTACACACGGGTTTATTATGAAGTTCTTTTGATTTGAAATGATAAGAGATATTTGGATCTTAATCTAAATTTAATGAAATGTCTTAATCATTTTAACTTTCACACTCTCCATCGTCTTCATCATCAGTGCATTGTGAGTATACATTCTATTTGTTTATTTGTATGTTGTTAAGCACAATGCTATACAATGAGCTATCTATGCTGTGCCCACCACGGGTATCGAAGTCAGGTTTTTAGCGTTATAAGCTTTCAAAGTAACAGCTGAGCAACTAGGGGGCATATTCATTCTGACACTTGTTATTTCCTTTACAATTGTAGGACAGTTCGCAAACTCACAACTGCACTTGCTGGATGGGCAGCACACAAAAAGAAATTATTTCACTCCTCTAAAAAACTAGTACTAAGATATATTTTACATGATAATCCATGCGGAATATATTACAAAAATTCCAAGATCTTAGAGACGATATCTTTAGAAAATCCAATTCAAACTGATTTGTGAAAGGCTATTTGGGACTTTTTGTTTTCCCTCTATGATATCAAGACTATTAGAAACAACATGAACAAGAAGCAGTACAAAAAAATGTATTAAATAATAACCTTAATTCTTAGAGACAACAATCTTGTTTTTATTTTGAAAGCAGGCTCTCCTTATAACTGAGATATGAAAATTGCCCGATGAAATAATGTCACTAAAAGTGGAGATAAATCAATGTGAGTCGAGCACTATCAGTGGCGTTTAAGAACTTCAGAAAGTTGTACTTATTAGTCGCTCAACTGTAAATCCTTCTCAGGTAATAACTACAAATACATATTTCATATCAGTTCGTTGTTGTGAAAGAAACAGTGTCATAACCAAGGTGACGAAAGTGAAAGCTATGGTGTGAAAGAAACAGTGTCGTAACCAAGGTGACGAAAGTGAAAGCGATGGTGTGAAAGACTAAGTAAAGGAAATTTACAGAAAACTCATAATAGTATTCTCATCTCTTATAAAAAACAATCTGTATAATATCAATAACGGATCACTCACTGTTGCCGGTATTGGATATCTTACTTGCTTTTTAGGGTAAAAATTATGAATTTTATGCATTTATTAAAAAAACATTTTACGTAAACAATAAATCTGCCTTTACAACTCATGTTTGATAATTTAGGTGAGGGCAAGGTCTCCATTACGAATAGCGCATAAACAGAGTATAACTGTAAGAGATTGGAGATCACATCTACTTTTATCCCAATTGAACCATTTTTCCTAAGGAGACCAAAATAGCATTATAAATATTCAGTTTCTCAGCCCTTTTAAGACTACAGAATATCAGGACTAATCGTTTATGCCTTAAGACAAGTTGATTTCAACTTCTTAACTTAGTTTAAAATGAGTTTGTAACTATTTATTATTTTAGTGTTATTCAATGCAATAGAGGTAATTCCTGACGTAACAGATAATCTTCGTAAACGTGTGTTTGTCAAGATGAAATAACATAGATGGAGCGTGAGCAATTATTTAAAAAAGAAAGATTGTTCACTTTATCATGTTAAATAATACAACGCATAGTGGGGAATTCGTTTCTTTGTGCGTATTTTTGAAATACATTTCTTAAATTAAACTTTTTTAAACTATTTTTTTCATGTTAAGTTACACGTTAGTGTTTTAATTACAATAACAAGAAAAATCATTGACAATTTTTCAGTTAACGATTATAAAATAATAAGGGAAATTTTTTATATAATAAAATAATTTTCTCGATACTCTTTCTGTGACATGAACATTGTGCAAAACGCCGGAGCATTTGTTTTTCAAAAAGTTGGTTCATAATACTCTTGAAAGATAACTATTTTACCATAGTTTCAAATAGATTTGAACTCAAAATATAGAAAAAAGAATAAGCTCGTACACTCTCATTTAGGACTAACATATGATATTCTGAGTTCGTTGTTAAAAAATAAGCCTCATTACACTGGAAAAGAAAAAACAAACTTTCATTATTCTACAACAAAGTGAACAACCTAGAATATGGTTGAAATTACATTCCGTTTTATATTAGCATTTCCCTCTTGTTCTTACTTTGCAAATAAACTCGTTGGTGGTACCTTCTATTTTAATTACGATTTTCCCCTATTTTCCTATTTACTTCCTGCCACATTGCTTGAGCTGTTTTGCGTAGATTTGTTAGCAACTCCCACTGACGTGAAAAACAAGCGTTTAACGTAAACATGTAAAAATATTTAAATATAGTTAATTGAAAAAGAATAGCTTAAGCCATCACTACTTTGTTTTACAGTTGATCAGCTGTAAGTTTATGAATTTTACAACACTAAAATTCAGAGGTTCGATTTCCCGTGGTGGACAGAGCGCAGATAGCTTACCGTGTGATGTGGCAATAAAAAACAATCTACACGTTCAATGTTTTGTAGCTATAGAAGAATATGGTATGCTATATGTTTTGTTGATATTAACAGTATAATATATAATAACTTCTAAACTCTTATATTCTAACTAATAGTGAATTTTTTATTGCCATTCATCAGTATAGTATAAAAATGTTGAGCTGCAACTTTTAATGACGAAAAAGTTAACAAAAAATTCTAGAATTTCTAGAATGTATTCTAGGATTTTCAGTTTGTTATGTTGTACATGTTACTTGTTTTAACATGAAACCCATGTATTTTTTTTACATCAATTGAGTAGACTCTTAAACTACACTGCGACATCTATTGACATCTGAGTATAACGAAGAGTGTCACCTGTAAGCTTTAATGAGCAATAAACATGTTAGATCTCGGTTTAAGTATATAAATATGTTTTATAGGTTTTGTTTTTTATCACGGAAAATAAGATAATTTAGCAATTAATGGTAAGTAACCTCATGGAATTATTTAAGACTTTAGGATTCCGGTGCTTATTACAGACTTAACCGTGTTAACTTTCAGGTTTAGGGGGTTTCCCGTAAGAATCTAATATAGAAGTTAACACATTTAGGTGATTTTACAGTGTCTTGCAAAAGTATTCGCCTCCATGTAAAGCTTCCACATTTTTGTTGCCGTCTGAGCTTGCAATCACGAAACTTTCAAATGGGACTTTATATTTAGAATTTACACAATCTACCAAACCGATAAAGCTAAAAAACGTTAATATTATGTTCGAACCCTTTGCTACTACAACCCTAAATCAGTTCAGGTGCAAAGTATTAGTTTGAAAGGTCACAAAATTAGTGTAATGGTCTCTGTCTGTGTGTGCCCGGCATGGCCAGGTGAGTAAGACGCTCGACTCTGCGAGTCGCGGGTTCGCGCCCCCCATCCCACCAAACATGCTCGCCCTTTTAGCCGTGGGGGCGTTATAATGTGACGGTCAATCCCACTATTCGTTGGTAAAAGAGTAGTCCAAGAGTTGCC